GGGAGAAAATGATTGCTATGACAACTCGAAATGTTATCATAAGATATATGAAACATTTTCTTGATTTTGCTCATAATTAAGTATAAATATTTATGTTTGAATTTTTTTTATTTTTTGTTGAGATAAAAAACTTGTATTTTGTTTGAAAATTTCGTAAGTTCAAAAAGGTTTTCTCTACGAATGAAGAATTAGTCTCCTTTGTCTTCATAGACTACAGCTAGATAATCCGGTATCGGTCATTATTAGTAACTGCAAATTTGGTAACCATGCTAGATGCATTGGTCTTCGATATAATGAATTCTGCAGAAGTTGTCAGAATGGCAATGAAGAGGTAGCCTAACTTACCTAACTGTCCAGCCCTGAAAACGACTATAAAGCGAACTCAAGGGTCAACCTACTTCAACGATCTATCTATTGCATTTTTAATCTATGTACGTCTTAATTCAATGACATAGTCATCGTTTCTTCTCTCTCCTTCCATTGAAATTTTGAATATGCCATGAACTTTGAATTCGAACTATTCACTAGACGTAATCTTCATACTACGTCTCTATTCAATGACATGTTCATCGTTTCTTCACTCTCTTTTCTTTTCCGTCTCTACTAACTCTGTTTCCACTACCTCTATTTTTCTTTTTACAAACGGATCTACTTTGGTACCAAGTATTGCAGCATCAGATGTTCGATGCGCAGCAACCTTTAAACAGTCGTAATTATTTTTTAAACGCTTTTAGGCTTGTGTTTGTTGTCTGGCTTTCGGCAGTTTTGTGTCTCGCTCACACTGGTGTAGTGTATTACTTAATATAACTGTTCGTATCACCTCAAGTGATGTTATGTTTTATTGCTGTAGACCAGAAAATACTCAAACGTTTATATTCTGGTCAACCGTTTATACCTTTAAAAGTCAACCGTTAAATGATCTCCACAATTAAAACTCTCCAACTTTACTGGTGGAGTATCATTAAAAACTAACTAACTAACTACCTAACTAAGTAACTAACTAACTAACTACTAACTAACTAACTAACTAACTAACTACTACTAACTAACTAACTACTAACTAACTACTAACTAACTAACTAACTAACTAACTAACTACTAACTAACTAACTAACTAACTACTAACTAACTACTAACTAACTAACTAACTAACTAACTAACTAACTAACTACTAACTAACTAACTAACTAACTAACTAACTAACTAACTAACTAACTAACTAACTAACTAACTAACTAACTAACTAACTAACTAACTAACTAACTAACTAACTAACTAACTAACTAACTAACTAACTAACTAACTAACTACTAACTAACTAACTAACTAACTAACTAACTAACTAACTAACTAACTAACTAACTAACTAACTAACTAACTAACTAACTAACTACTAACTAACTACTAACTAACTAACTAACTAACTAACTAACTAACTAACTAACTAACTAACTAACTAACTAACTAACTAACTAACTAACTAACTAACTAACTAACTAACTAACTAACTAACTAACTAACTAACTAACTAACTAACTAACTAACTAACTAACTAACTAACTAACTAACTAACTAACTAACTAACTACTAACTAACTAACTAACTAACTAACTAACTAACTACTAACTAACTAACTAACTAACTAACTAACTAACTAACTAACTAACTAACTAACTAACTAACTAACTAACTAACTAACTTAACTAACTAACTAACTAACTAACTAACTAACTAACTAACTAACTAACTAACTAACTAACTAACTAACTAACTAACTAACTAACTAACTAACTAACTAACTAACTAACTAACTAACTAACTAACTACTAACTAACTAACTAACTAACTAACTAACTACTAACTAACTAACTAACTAACTAACTAACTAACTAACTAACTAACTACTAACTAACTAACTAACTAACTACTAACTAACTAACTAACTAACTAACTAACTAACTAACTAACTAACTAACTAACTAACTAACTAACTAACTAACTAACTAACTAACTAACTAACTAACTAACTAACTACTAACTAACTAACTAACTAACTAACTAACTAACTAACTAACTAACTAACTACTAACTAACTAACTAACTAACTACACTAACTAACTAACTAACTAACTAACTAACTAACTAACTAACTAACTAACTAACTAACTAACTAACTAACTAACTAACTAACTAACTAACTAACTAACTAACTAACTAACTAACTAACTAACTACTACTACAACTAACTACTAACTAACTAACTAACTACTAACTAACTAACTAACTAACTAACTAACTACTAACTAACTAACTAACTAACAAACTAACTAACTAACTAACTACTACCTACCTACCTAACTAATTAACTTACTAACTAACTAACTAACTAAAGTTTGTTACAAACTATGTATAATTTTGAGAAATACTTGGAAACATGAAAATTTTTTTGGTCACCTCCTTTGTATTCTTAATACACATTGCAAGTTTATGTAAACATACATTTTCAATGATATAATGATAATTTAAACTATGTGCAAAAGGATGTGTGTGAATATTCAAATACTATGAACATGTTGCAAGAATCTATGCGTACGAAATGCTTGAGCATATCTAATGATAGATTGAACAGTTCAAATGCATACAAAACACAAATATTTAAAACAGAATAGCAGAATACATTCAAAAAAGACCAAGAGAAATGTCTGCCCACACGCATGCAAAACAGTCATAAGAAATTTAATTAAGCATTACGAACATTTGTCGATATAATTTCTAGGGATATTGGTGTAAGTCTATGCTGCTTGATGGTAATATGAATAAAATTTATCGAGATGAAAGAAAAAAATTACATCAGCCACATTACTTGTAGCACTAAATACTACGCATACTACAAGAATGTTCATATTCAAGAAGCAATTTAAAATTTGAAATTAAATTCTTTGTAAACTCATGCATTCTTCTCATAAAATATTCAGTCGAAATCCATTTGATGTAGTTTTCATATAGTATAACAATCTATTGGCTTTTCGATTGCATTGTATTTTTGTAATTACTTAAAAACAAGAACAAAAACAACATGTAAGAAAGTATAGTCGGTCGTGTGCTACACTAATTATATTTAAAAGTGATTTTCGGAGGGAATAGAAGTTTGTGTTTCTTTCTCCACATGTCCCCATTTACTTATCACGTATGTATATCTTTTTGAGAGATCGAGTACAATTTTAAAGGAACTTTTGAACTTTGAAGGCTAATTGGGATATCATTGAAGTGGGAATTAAGACATTATTCAAGTGGTAATGATCCGAATGGTACAATTTGGGTTTGGAACCTTTAGTATTAGCACAAAAGGTTAATCAATTCCACTATTTTGTGGTGTAGGGTATAAAAATAATAAATAGTACTGCAGCCCAACCATTTCTATTGTTTAATTCATAAAATTAAAAAGTTTTTCTTTTCTTTTTTTGCATTCGCTTTTGCTTTAAAAGTACCAATAACAATGGATAGCTGGCTGATCTAGCTAGCAACCATCCTTTTCAACAGCAACATCATCATGCTCTTCATTATTGCCACCAACCACTTTTTTATTATTCAAGTAGACACTTTAAAAGTGTAAAACTGTTTTTACAGTTTTTTTCTTTTTCGAAATGTTGACGATGGTCATTGTTGTTAAATTCAAGACTATAAAAATTTATACCAACAATCGATTCTTTTCTTTAGTCAAATGCTTTTCTATGGTTTGACTCTTTCAGGAATGAATGAACAAATGAGTGAAGGAAAGAATGAATGAGTGAATAAATGTTAAGTTGTCGACAACAAATAAAAACTATCTAAACTACTTTGCTCTATTTGAAGTATTTTTTCTTTCCTTCAATTTTTTTACAGTATTTTGTTGAATTGAAATTAAAAAGTAAAATAATAAGGAAAAAAAAGAAGGAAACTTTTTCATTAAAAGAGATTGCGATAAATTGATTAAAAGTTTTATACCAGAGCATTCTCGTTTATTATGAGAAAAACACAAAACTATTTCTGTTATTTTTCCTATACGTATAACACTGCAACAACAACAACAATAACTACATTCAACTGACAACTCCAATGCTAACTATGAACAGACTTGTAAAGTTCAGGTCTAATGTTCGTGGTCAAGACAGGCACATTAATGACTCCTGTTAAGTATTAAACTTAAAACCCACCTGAATAAATGATGGAGGAAAGGGACAAAAAACAAACAAATAAATGAATGAATGGCTAGTAAAGGTAAAAGTTTTATTTGTAAATTTTTAAGGAAATTGATGTTGAAGAAAAACATAGCAAGGAACTTAACAAGACAATAAACGTAGTAGTGGTGATGAGATGAACAATAGGGAACAATTAAAAATTCTTAAAAAAAAAAAAAATATTGGAAATTATCGATTTTCTTGTCACTTGTTTATGTTAAATAGATTTTAAATTAAAAGTTTGCAATACAAGTTTTATTTTTAATTTCAAGTATATGACCAAAAAATATCAAAACAATAACTGTCAGTTTTTATTTTTAATAAAGAAGACCATTAGTGCACGTGGCTGAGTTATATGCTTCTTGTTGTAGGCAGTATTGTCAATTATAACAACTAAATAATTAGATAACTTACGTTTCAAAAAGGAACAGGTCATTTCGTATTGATGCTGAGGTTTAATCGACTGAGAATGACTTTCTTAGTCGATAAAGAAATGTCCGTCCGGCTGTCCATGTACAGGCCGCAATTTTCAAGATGTTTTGATGAAAATTGGACCATACATGTTTTTCGGTAATAAGACGTAACCTAGGATCTTCCCTATACAATCGGATCTTCCGATTTGGACTTTTTCTTTCATTTCAGTTCATATAAATGACACCTAGCCTAATGCAACGACATTTGATTCTAAGTCTCTTATTTTTTTTTGTGGCTTGAATAATTTCTGCTACTTAAATATGCAAAAAATAAAAATTAAACAAAAGTGAACAAAAAACTTCTACTCACCTGTTCGTTGTTTGTTTTGCGCGGATGTTTTTTAATGCCGCGTCTCGCACGCGCCTTGGCGGCAAAATAAATTCGTATATAAACGAAAACCATTATACAGCTGGGAATGTAAAAGGAACCCAAAGCAGAATACAATACATAGCCAATATCTTCACTAAGCTGTAAGAGAGAAGAAAATGAAAGGGAAAAGAAATAAGTGAAATGTTATTAAAATTTATTTCATAAATTTTATATGAGCTTTTATAATTTTTTTTTTGGTTGCTTCTACCCTGATACAGTATCTTAAAATATTTATTTTCTACATCTATATTCGTTTCTTTTTTCTGGCAGATTTTTTGGTGCTAGTATTTTTTAATATTAAGTTTATTTCTTGACAGTTTCAGGCTGCAAGTAAATTAAATTTAACTTAATTCTTTCCTTGTGTTTAAATTCTTTGCCACTTTTCATAGCTTTTGGGGGATTTTAAGGATACTATATTTAAATTTTGTTTCTTTAATATCAAGATGGTTATTTTTTTCCTAATGGTGGGCTGTGTAGTTGTTGTTGCTATCTTGCTGGTGAGTTTGGTGTAATAAAAATAAGAGATGTTTTATTACTTCCGTTTCCGCTTTAAATGTTTGTGTTTATTCATGTGTAATTCTATGTTTATTTAAGGAATTATATTAAAAAAAGAGGTCATTTTGGATTTTCTTGGTGGGCTTAACAATTTAAAAAGCTAGCAATAAAATTTAAACAGTCTGCAAATAAAACTTTTAGTATTCATTATGAATAATGATGTTGAATTTAACTTTTTGGACGGTTATTGTTGGAAATACTGTTTAATACATATACTATGTATGTGTGTTTGTATTTTGTTGTATTTAAACTTTTGAAATAGTTAAAAGGTACTTCGTCCATAAAGCTACTATATTAGCTAATTAATTTAATGTTCCACCATATTTTGTAAAACACGAAGGCGTATGATTGTTATTTATAAAGCTATATGTATGATATCAATCATACGCCTCGTATAACATGAATATTTATTGTACGAGGCGTATAATTGATATCATGCATACAGTTTTATTAATAACAATCATACGTCCTGCTAGTAAAGGTAAATTTTAAATAGATAAATACATTTTTCTAAAAGTACTAATCTTTAATCCTCAGAAAACTTAACTTCATATGTGCTAAGTTCGGACTTAACTTCCTCTAGCTTCCTTACTCTTGTAGCAAGTACATTCGTTCTGCGTATGTTGTTATTAATAAAGTTATATGCATGATATCAATCATAATCCTAGTATAATATGAATATTTATTGTACGAGGCGTATGATTGATATCATGCATACAGTTTTATTAATAACAATCATACGTCCTGCTAGTAAAGGTAAATTTTAAATAGATACATACATTTTTCTAAAAGTACTAATCTTTAGTCCTCAGAATACTTAACTTCATATGTGGTAAGTTCGGACTTAACTTCCTCGAGCTTCCTACCTCTTGTAGCAAGTAAATTCGTTCTTTCGGTGATACCAAAGTAAATATTTCATTAATTACTTTCCTACCTTTTATTGACTAGTTCATAGACTAGTATATACTACGATATACTATTGATTAGTCCATGAATTAGGCTAGAATATGGACGGCTTTACGGCCTGTTCTATTGACTAGTTCATTGACTTGCTTATGTATCAGGTTATTGACTAATTCACTGTTTAGGCTCCTATAATCGACCTTCTTTCAAAAAATGTATTTATATATTTCATGAGAGTCAAATGTGGACATAAAACTCCAATTATATAGTTCCAACTTCTGAAAATCATTTTAAACATGGTATAATTTGTATAGGATATCACACGGGTATGTTTGACAAAATTTTAATTACTATTTCTAATTAAACCACTTTAAAGATTTTATCTAGTTATTCATAACAATTTAGATAATTTTCAATTTAATCTAATTTATTTGAATACATTCACCATGCATTCTTTTAAAGAGGATACAAGAAGCAGTGAAATGAAAATAGAGGAAGAAAAGCGGAAGAAAGAAAGGTAATGATGATGCAGTCAACACAAAACCTTAAATGATGATGAAACAATTTATTTTCATTTCTATATTTACAACACTTTTATTTCACTTTATAAGTAATATGTACTTGTACTTAAAAGTGTGTGTGCGAGAAATGCAAGGACTCTTGTTAAACTAAAGAGGATAAATATTATATATAAGAATTTTCTATTTACTTTCTCGTTTTTTTTTTTCTTTTTTGACAAATTCAACATCTTAACCAGCATTGGGGTTTGAAAAGTTTTTGTTGAAGTAAGCTTAACTAACAAACACTAACTAACTTTATAAATCTCTGTCGTTTTTACTATTTCTTATCGTTTGTGTATATTTATTTTGGAATAAGTATTTTTACATATACATAGTATGTAGTTGCCTTTATATACAATTTATATTAATATAAAAAAAAAATTGAAAAATCATGTTAAGTTTATATTACAGTTGAATAAATGCTCCCTCCTTCTAACAGCCTTAGAGTCATCCCCTTAAATGTTTCCCTTTACTACAACCATAATAAGAAGATTATAAAGATTGATTTGCTTCCATATATTTTCTACATTTCACTAGTTTGTTTACAATTCAGAGAAAACTAGTACTATATCCTAGAACTCTGTTAGTTTTGATGTTGCTATTCACCAATATTTCGTTAACTATTCAAATGTGTTCAATGTCAGTTAGTTGCTTATACTATATTCTTATCGTATGTAGTTATAAATATTTTGTAGTTCTTGTCATCATTATTATTTTCTAAAGCTATCAAAAAGATTACAATATTTTTTTGCTACATATAATGTGTATTGTAGTTTTATATTTCACTTTTTGGTTTCGTATTAAATATTATGCATTTCTCTTTTTTTGTGGAAAAAGATGTGCAATGTACAAAATATTAAGTTAATAGTATCAGCAGCATTGTTGTTGGTAAGGATTTTCAAAAAATTAAGATTTGTAATGTAGTAAGTCTGATTTTGTGTTTAGTTGTGTTCGTGGAATTTTCTTTGAATAATAAATAATGTTATAATAGATTAAGTTTGCAACATAAATTAATACCAGCTATTGAAGAAAAACATTTTATAACAAAATAAACCCAGCAAAGACTTGACTTACACTAACACAACTAATTACCTTTCAATGACTACTACTACCGTCCACATTACTTTTATGTACTTTAATAATGACCAACATGAAATCATATCATATAGGTTTTCAGGCTCAGATATAATAACTAAGAAATGGTGGAACCACGAGACCGAGGTTCGTATATTGCAAGTACTTATTTAAGCACTTATTTGTAAGCGAGCGTGGTAAGAACTTCTCCAAAGCCAATGTATAATAATGAAAAGCGGTTTTATTATTTTTTTAACTTATTACTTTTCAGTGTAAGTATTTGGTGGAAGTTTTTTATAAACAAACATTCTACTACTTTCTACTCGAATAACAGAGCATAAATAGACGAGGTAAAAAATTTAGCTTCATACTAATATCATAGCCAAAACCAATAGTTGACCCACAGAGAGTCGTAGATTGTATTATTTGGCTAGATTCAACCCATAAGTTAGACGATTTCAACCAATTTTAATAGGCTTCGCCCTTCGGACCAAACCAGAAGTCTTACATGGACAGCCAGCCAGCAGGACAAAAATTAATTCTGAGCCGATTAAGACACTTAAGTCCGTCTGTCCGGTTGTATGTCCAATGTAAATTTGAAGGTGTCAATAAATACTCAAACACTTCCTGTTTTGATTTGGATATCGTAGATTCAGGTATGTACATATGAACTCCCCACAAAATAACTCCTTAAAACAAAAATGAAATAACTCCCTAAAAATTTGTTCAGAAAGCAAAAACAACGAAATTTGAGGATTAAATTCGTTTTTTTTGGCATTACTTCACATTTAAAATGGGGAGTTATTTCATTATGAAATAATTCCTCAAAATTCAAAAATGAAATAAAACCCTAAAAATATTTTTGGGAAGTTATTTCATTATATTACTTTTATCACACGAAATAAAAAATATATGTTTGATAGCTGGCTTTCGGCCGGGCGCAAGGGTTTGATCCCTGTATCAAGAGTATATAGCCTTAAGCCGGGTCTTTAAGAAATCTTAACTAAGTGAAGCCGGTGTTGACATATGATAAAGTAATAAACCCTTGAGTTGGGCCGTAGGCCGACTATTTAGGAAATATTTATTAAACGAAGCCGTTGTTAGACATACCATAGATTAAAAAGTTCCTGCGCCCGGCCGCAGGCCTGCTATTAAGGAAATCTTTATAAGCGATTAAACTGAAATGTATTAAACTTTGGAGCCCCACTCGAAAGTATGAGCGACATATTTTTTTCTCTCTCATATATTTTTTATTTCGTAATGTAATAAAATAACTCCCCAAAAATATTTTTAGGGATTTATTTCATTTTTGAACTTTGAGGAATTATTTCGTAATGAAATAACTCCCCATTTTAAATGTGAAATAATGCCCCAAAAAACGAATTAAATCCCCAAATTTCGTTGTTTTTGCTTTCTGAACAAATTTTTAGGGAGTTATTTCATTTTTGCTTTAGGGAGTTATTTCGTGGGGAGTTATTTTATGACGCCCTTTTTTCATTTTTAAATTTGGGAATTATTTCATAATGAAATAAGTCCCCAAATTCTAGGAGTTATCTCAGTATAGTATATCTCAAACAACTATCCATTGCCATATTGTTAACTGTTTATGGTTTATTTCACAGCATATGTAATACACACTGTATTATATTGTTTGGGCTAAAATTGATAGCAACTGTTAGCAACTGTAATCTAACAATACTTATAACACATATTGCAAATTAAAGTTTGATCCCTGAATATATTCCATTAAAATTACTACCCCTATTTTAATAAACCAAATTTCAAAGAGACATACTAATGAATGAGTCACAAAATAAAAGTGTAAAATGTAATATATCCACCAGCATCAGCAAAAATCTATCTTAATAACACTTCAAATTTAATATTTATAAAATTTTCCCGCATTCATTCGTATACAAGTACACTTCAATTCATTACATTTCACTGCATTTTCTTTATTTCCTCTCAAACAAAAATTCGACAATTGTTTTACTCACTCAACTTAAA